TGACATAGAAGACCCTATAATGGATATTCTGAGATTGAAAACTCAAGAATGTGATTGCTTCTAGTTTAGTTGTATGAACTCAAATACTTCGTATTAAGGAAAACCAGCGGCTTCTCCCTAAATTCTCAAGACTTTGTTTAACTTTACCCCATTTACATAGCACAGCACTGTATGTTGCTGACAAATTCCAATGTAGCATGCAACAGTGGTTCCTAATTGCTTTAGCATTTATCATGCACAAGAGACGAGAGAGAAGTCTCATTTTGTAAAGCTCAGTTGCATTCCTTATCTCTGAAGTACACTTAAGCAGCAAGCTGGGACTTAAGGTAGCTGCGTGAAAGCCAGCATTTATTAACATGCATATCTTGGAGGAAAAATGAATTGGATTTTCTAAGAGAAAATATAGCCCAACCTCATTCTGTGCATTAATTTTGCATAGTTTCACTTTTGCACATTTTACAAATGAGGGGCCAAGCTCTGTCTCACCCACATAAATTCTCATGCTCACATTTTTTTTCAGGTTATGCTTTATTTCAGCTTTGTTTGCAAACATTTCTTAAAGCATTTTGGTGCATTTCTTTTGAGGTCTATTAGTACCTATTAATGTTTTTCTAAATAGTCATTGGATGTACTTAACCAGTGTGTACTTAGGCATCTTTTATCTGACAAGTATTCTGAGTTTTAAAGAAACAGTACACACTTTCTTGAGAATGACATATTTTGCTATGCTTTATAGCTGAATAAAATTCCATTGTGTAAATATATTCCATGCTCTTTATTCATTGCTCTGTTCATTGACACCTAGGCTGACCCCATAACTTGGCACTGTGAATAGGATGTGAAAGTAGAAATGAAACTATCTGGAGGAATGAATGGGAATAACAGTAGGGTGGGGAAAATGTAGGGTGAGGTAAATAATGCCAAAGAACATGATATATTTGTATGGCGATGTCTTTTTAAAACCCATCACTATGCACATCACTGTGCACTATGCACCCAATGTTTGTATTAAAAATGAAAGAACCCCTTGAAATCTTACAAAAACTATTTGGTTACATGCATAAGACAAGAAGTGTTAGGAAGCTGAGGTTTTGTGAACTATTATATACAGGAGCTTCCTGCAACTGATAGTTTTGCTGATAGTCAGCAGTCTCTCCCTACTGTTCTGGGACTTGAAGTTGTTAAGAATTAACCGCTAAATGGGCATACAATAATTATATAAGCTGAAAAGCACCACTATTCTTATTTGTCTTTTAAAACTCATTCAAGATAAATAATGTGTGTGTGTGTGTAGTATATATAAAAGTATGTATACAGCCTCATAAAATGAAGATTACACACATATACATAAATACACACATATATAATGTGTGGAAATTAGTATTTATAAATTTTTATATACATATATAAAATTAAAGTAACTAAAGTTCTGTCTTTTGAGGAATTTGTAATGACAAAGGTACTTTAATTCTATTTTTCCATTGTAGTTTGAGATGTGCCCAGAAAGCACAGTCAGTACAATCTATTGGTCTGCCCAGGGACTTAAGACCTGCCTTTTTAGCCTGTGACCCATTTGATTTGTGTGCATCCACTGGTCCCAGATTTGTTCCCATTGTTCTATGTGGCAAAGTTAACTAGGGGAAGACCATGTAGATAAAGGGGTCATCATGTTTTAAATGATCACATTTTTTAATCTTAATTTTTATTTATTCATTTTACATCTAGGTCATAGGCCTCTCCTCTCCCCTGTACCATCCTCCCTCCCTGTTTCCCCTATGCCTTTCCCATACTCCTCAGAGAAGGGGAGTCCCCTTACCCACCCACCCCAGAATATCAAGTCGCATCTGGACTGAGTACATCTTCTTTCCCTATGACCTGGTGAGATAGCCAGAGGAAAGTGATCAAAAAGCAGGCAACAGAGTCAGTCCCCATTTTTCTTAATAAGAATCCCATATGAGGACGGAGCTGCCCATTGGCTACATCTGTGTAGGGGGCTTAGGTCCAGTTCATGCATGGTCCTTGATTGTTGCTTCAATCTCCACAACACTCTACCCCCTTGGTCCTGGTTAGTTGGCTCTGTTGGTCTTCTTGTGAAGCTCCTGTCCCCTTGGGTCCTTCTATCTTTCCCTGTACTCTTCCACAAGACTCCCTTCATTCCACCCCATGTTTGGTTGTAGGAATCTGCATTTGTTTCCATTAGTTGGTGGGTGGAGCCACTCAGAGGACACTTATGCTAGGCTTCCATCTGCCTGTGGAGTCCAATAAAGTTGACATAATTTGTAGATAAATTCATGGTATCCAATCTACTTTTCCTTCTATAGTCCATCATTGTGAAAATGCTGTCTATTGGTGTATTTTTCATGTACTAATATTTTCTTTTTCCATGCTTAAAAGTAAGGCAGTGAAGGGGGAGTCTTTCAAAGCATAATGTTAAGAGGCAAGTGAAGGAGATAAAGTTGGATTATAAACAACCACTTCACCTTACTAGAGTAGTGGATTCAATATAGTAGTCAATATAATAATGTAAACTTTGGGCACTCATTTTGTAGATTGTTTTATACTGGCATCACCTCTACATTTTTATATTTGAGAGTGAGTTGAGTCTATTAACTCTATCAAAAAGCTTCTATTTGTAGCCAAAGTGACTGACATGTTTTAGTTGCCCCAACTTATTCATTCTAGGAAATGACTGGCAGTCAATTCTACAAGAGCAGGAAAATATACTTGTAATGAAGCCAAGACAACTGTACATGAATAAAATGAAACTTCACACAAGTAACTTACATTAACACATTTATTGCAAGTAGCTCTATGGAAAAGCAAGTCAGATATACATATATATTTATATAAACACTATACAGAGTTGCAAGGTCATCTCCCAAAACTGCAAACAAGATGCAAACAAGAAAATTTAAGAGTATTTACAAAGGAAGGCAAACACAGAGCAACTCAAAGCAGATCTGTGAAGAAGAAATAGCAAATGTAATGAACTTTTGGAACCATAGCTTTAGGTTTTACTGATCAGGTAATTATGTATGACACCAAACTAATGTAGCGGTCACATACACAAATCGTTCCATCATTAGTTTTTTCAGCAGCATAAACTAGTCACTGGAAGGTAAGTGGTATGTCGGTACACAAATTCCATTGATTCTTCCAGCACAATACTGAATAAATCAATTATGTCTGTAAACTAAGAAACTGTGTTTAAAAGATTGCATATTTGTTATGCTGTACCTGTTACTATTTGTCCCTGTGACTAATTGTATATACTGTTGTGTATGAGGTTTCCATTCATTTATTCAGCAAGTGTGCTACCCCTTTTATCTACCTTATGTACCCTGTCTTTTGGCAGCCCCTGAACCAAATACGTGAATAAAGTAATACAGCAGTTTCCCCCAAATAATCTTTCATGTTACAATTCTGAACGATTATGACAACTCACTTCGATATAAAATGGTAACGAAAAGTCTGAAGAAAGGCTGCATAGAGAGTACACTGTTATGATGAACAAAAGCCACACTGCATTACTGAATTAGGTAGGAACAAGAGAGGCACCTGGAGAGAGTGATGAAAGAAACCAATGCCCTAGCAACGACCAGACACCTGGTTAATGGCTGGCCTTGAAGCCACACCCTCTCCTCAGCACAATTCACATGGAAAAAGGAGCACCCCTCCCCCCATCCCTTTGCTTAGTAGGCAGGGAGAAACAATAGAAGTCAACTCGGTTCTTCAGAAAGTTAGTTCAGCAACATGTACTAGAAGCCTGCTCAAAGACAAAAGCACACGTTCAAAGATGTAGGAACCGAGTGGCAGAGAACTTCAGGTAAATATTACACTACTCCAAAGTTGTACATTAAATGAGAAGCATTTTTTTTAAACAGAGTTACACACAACAGGTACATCTATAATCACGTGTTCACAGGTACAAAAAGGTGCACATACACACAAATGTGTGCATTCACACACTTGCACTCACACAGTTTTGCAGACACTTGCTAAAACACTCACCCATCTGTCAGATGATGAGGTTTTGCCAGTGATGGTACTAAAGCCAAGAGCTGTGTACCACTATGTAACAAAACTCTAAGCAAGCTTCAAGACCTTTGTACCTATCCTGTGTGGTTACCATCTGCTATTTTCATGTTCCCAAAGGTCTAGGTTCCTAAAATCTTAATTCAGTTTCCATCAGAAGCAAGCAAAAGTAGGAAGGGGGAGCTTGCTCTGATTTTTTTTTTCTTTTAAAATTGTACATCTTATATTGGCTCAATGATTCAGAATGAAACAAGGCCTTATAAGAGGTTCCTTTTGGCTTAAGTTTTAGGCAGATGATCAATTGATGGGTATACCCTAATTTCTGAATATAGGAAACTTAATTTCTTTCTAGGTATCCTGGACATAAGGGGGAGAATCATTACTGGGGGAAAAGCCAGAAAGAGGGGAAGGCAGTTTGAAGGGTAGGACGGAGGAGACTCCAGAGAGGCAAAAAAGGATATGAAGGCTTACTTGCCTCTTTCCAGGAATAAATGTAGGTTTCAAAATAAAATCAAAACAATGTTTGGAAATGCTCAATCTGATAGCAGACCATCACCAGGTTCTACACAAACAAGTAGACAACCTGTTCCTTGGCTCTGCCTTTAAAATGCTAGAAATATTTTGTCAAGATATCACTTTAGTTCATGTCTAGTGTCAACAGAATGTCATAGTATTGTTAATGAGCAAAATCTAAGATAATCTGCTCTTTAGTCATGTCTTTAAAATACTGAAAATGCCCCGTCAATATAGAAGTTCAGTTCATAATAATTTTTTGACCAAGAAATGTTTTAAGCATGTACTGCTCAGAAAAAAAAAAAATATTCCAGGTCATACCTACCTTCTCATTCACATATGTTTCTTTATCTGCCATCGTTTAAAGATGTTCACATTGAAAATTCATCCAGGTATTTTATGTCATTAAAATTGATGCTGATTCTATTTATATAGACTCAACACATTTTTAGAGAGGAAAATCATACTTTTATGAGATACTAACTTATAGCATCTCATTCTTTTCAAAAAGGCAGATCAGGGAAACTAGGAAACAAAGCCAATGTACAGTGTACACATCCTTAAGTCAGCCAATGGATCGAGGAGTCAGTAGCAAGAATGAACTCCATGAGGCTCATTCAGCTGTCACAGTCCAATTGTTGAGTGGTAGAAATTGAGATTGCTTTCTTTTCAGAAGCTTCAGAATTTTCTTTCTTTTAGGCAGATCTGGAGTAGATGAAGATTAAATTCTGTATCATTTTTCTTCTAAAATGTGTTTGGTTTTGTTGACAATGTAATAACTCTAAAATAAATAACAAGACAAAAAGTTATTTTCAAAATTAACATGAAGTACCATCACCCCCTCTGCATTCGAAAACAAAAGGAAACAAAACCAAAAGAGGTTCCTGAGAGATGAATTGAGGATGCTGCCTTGGTGTAGACATAGTTAATCAATAATCAATATTGTGAGCTGACTGTGCCAAAAAAAAACAAAAAAAAAACAAAAAAAAACCAAAAACAAAAAAAACAAAAACAAAAACAAAACAAAAAAAAAAAAACAAGTTGGGCAAAAACACTAGGAAAGTTACAATTTACCCAGGATGCCACCTTGACATTGCTGGTGGAAAGTTGATTGGAATGTGTGAATACTCTCCTATTTTGTGCCAGTTGGTCCCCTGAAGGAGGCCTTAGACAGAGAATGTTCTTCTTTCTCCTGCATGCTTAAGTCTACTTTTACCTTAGGTGACACAAGTCAAAGGATTTAAGAATATCCTTGATAATAGTCTCCGGACTAAATTATGGAAATTCTTCTAGGAGAACTAGTTATAACTACAAAGATTTGGCTGAAATTTCCATTTCTCTATCAAAAAGATACAGCTTTCTTAACTACTAATGTATTAACTATACATGATTGGGAACATGGTTTATAAAGCAGTGGGAATTAAATATGTGGATGAAGTTACTGGAATGAAGAAGGGAAAGAAAATGCCCAATAAGTAGATTATGGAGTGCCAATGTTACTTTAGGCCCTGGCTACAAAGCAGCCAATACTTCATGTTACCTGAAACTTCAAGCTTAAGGAATCCAGGGAAAGCTTCCTCCACAGTAGGCTTCAAGTAAAAGATCTTCAGTTAACCAGAAGTAGTTATTTCTTTTTACAAATATTTTGATTAATGCAACATAATTGAGCACCAAAGTCTCCATTCCTTCTGTATTTTTGTGGTTGTTAATTACATTCATTGTAGAGATCTTTCCTTCATAGTAAAAAGCTTAAAAAGAAGAACCCTAAATGTGAAAGTATTAAGTCTTCCTGTGAGCACTGAATTTGTGAAATTTAAGTTCTACTAAGATAGAGAGTATATATGGTCATTACAGAACAGCAAACTGTGGGTGTGTATATTAACAACTCATTTTCTTATGACAAAATTGGGTTAGGTAGGTATCCTGGAATTATATTTAAATGTTGTCTACACATTTTTAACAGAAACATGATACAAGGGTATCTCATAAATTTAGTTTATTTTAATATGCACTATATTTATAAGTTTTTATATATATTACATTAAAATTACTTCAATAGGATTTTCTGAATATCATATATCATGTGCTACACTTCATGTATAAATTAAGGCCCTAAGTATCCAAGAGATAATGCTTGGAATTAGGACGATTTATTGTTATTGGGGTCATTTTTCTTCTTTGCTTTAAGAAAAATAACAGCAGTTCTTCCAAAGATTTTATTCCTATTTCCATGCCTTCCTATAACACTTGCATCAACACTGGGTGAAGAGTGAATAACCTACTAAAACCAAGCAATTGGTTGTATAATTTCAAGTTTACAAAATATATTTGTGTGTGGGAATAAGGCTTTCCAAACTAGGATAATCTCCTAATAATTTAACTTGCTTTTACAATGCTTTATTGGAACTGGAACCACAGATTTGCTTTTATAATTATGCTTTTCTTAGGGCCATATTAAAATGAGTTTACATTTCCTGAACACATTGTAAAAAACAGCAAAAGGAAGCAATTCACAAGATTGCTAGATAGTGGAAGAAAGCAATTCAGCATTAAACCTCATTCCTAAATGTCTACAAAAGGAATATCAAAGAGCTGACATTCACACCATGTGTTCCTTTCCTATTCTTTATAACATCTCACCACCTGAAAAATGAATGGTAATACCTTGGGAAGTGTTATCTGGTCTGCGTTTATTTTTTCACTTGATACTGACAGGTTTTAAACACTTTCCTTATTGTGTACATAATTTTCCAATTAGTCAAAGCTCTTTTTAACATCAAGTTAATTCCACCCTTTTAATAAAGTTTTTTTTTCTTTATAAGAAAGAGAACTTTAAAGGCCTTTGATAGGTCAAAAGTTTTCTCTTCTGATTCTTCCAGAGTCTGTAAGGTATTGTTTTGTTCTTATAAACTAATAAAGACAATTTCTCTGCTTCAATTTTGATAATGTTAAAAACTGGAACATTAATCTTTAATACATTAATGAAGCATACATGACTTTAGGACCCCTGAAAATTTATAGCTTGAACCAAGAAGGCAGTTTCTCCAGAGTATTCCAGATCTCTTTATAAGAAACATAAATGTCCCTCTATTAGGGTTTGAAATCTGAAACAGCAGACCAGAGAAAGATGTAATTCCAACAGAACGTAGGATTGTTCTCTTGCTTTCTTTCCATCATCCCAACCTTATTGTCTCAGTTATTTTTTCAGGTCTGATTTTCCTCCATATCAAAGTCATATTGAAAACACTATTCATTACACAGTATGCTAGCCTCACAATCTATTGGTGATCACATTATCAGAGGTAATCATGTAAATCAACCAAAGCAAAGAAACCAAAGTGAATGAAGGGAAATGGAAGCCTGGGCCCCGTAGATGAATATGTAAAATTCAATCATGCTACTTAGCTTAGCAGTTGTTGGGTTATATGCAAGTTTCATCTCTTCAATAAGAACTGTTCTCACATTTCTGTGCTTGATGAATATACAGGATGATGATCCTGTATAAGTTGATAAATAGGAAGTACTGTCCCTACAGCAAGAAAATTAACAAGAACTTCTACTGGTCTTTACAATGCCACCCATACTATCTCTTTCTTAAAGCAAAGGATAAAATATGTCTTTCTCACAGTGGCAATGATTTTCCAAGAGAACTGTCAAAAGAATCTGAAATGAAAATTGATGCCACTTGTAAAGCTCCATTCTTTTTAAAGGACAGCCTTATTGTTTGACATCTGCCCTTCACGATCAGGCTCTGGGACACAAGCTGGTTCATTCCAGTCCTAATTCTTTATAAATAGGTTGTTTGGGGATCAGTCACTTTATTTTTCATCTTAAGTTAGTTTCCCCACCATAGCCTAACATACACTTGGGCTCCTTCACTCTGCTGTCTAGTTACTGCTAACACAAAGAATGCAAGTAAGTAGAATTTTAATATGTTCAGTCTTCAATTTTCAAAAGATATATAGTCCCAGGTTTATTGTTAGTTGAAACTTGTAATAAACTACCTCATAGAAACAGTTGTAAAAAATGATCTACATATGACTCTATTTAACCTCTTTAGTTCTTGAACCAACAAAAGAACTGTTTTATCCAATCATTTCTGTGAGATGCATTGAAGGTTTCAATTTGGAACTCCAGGGAAATAGGTCTTCCAGCCATGATGGATGATAGAAAAAATAATGTCTCCTAAAGTTGAAAAGTTAAAATTACGTTCCCTAGTCACTCATTCAAGGGCACGGCGGAGGGACATGTGAGAGGTTTTCAAGATCAATTTGGAGTTATAGACTTGATTGATATTATATATTCCAAGTCTTCAAGTAGAAAATTAGTAATCATATTGAGGCAAATTATATAAATTTTAAGATCTAGCTAGAGTTATCACAATTTATGGGGAATAAATATTCAGCACATTTCAAAGGTCTGATTAGCATCACACATATTGTTGTCAATCTAAGCATAAAAATAGTTTTAAATATAACCCTGGATACCACTGTGCCAAAAATGACAGTGGACCAAGCAGGACACTCTCAGAAGTGTACAATGTAAAATGTAATCCCTACAAGAAAAGCTGCTGCTTTCTGCTGAGATCAAGCAAGCTGGGGCTAAGGACATCTATGCCAGTAGTTCTAAATAGGTCTTAGTGGATTCCTAGAATTGACCCTCAATTTCTCTATTAGAGAGAAACCAGGTAAAGTCATTTTTTTTTTTCTGAACTATAGGGCACAAGTCAGGTAAAGAGCAGCTTGACAATCCAGGTCATGAAATATAAACAATGGCAACAATGAAGAAGGTATATCAGAATGCAGGGAAAAATAGCAATCACTTTTTCATTTCTCTCAATAAATATTTAAGTATCCTTTTTTTATTTGAAAAGGAATTACTTCATTAGTCTAAAGTAAAAAACAAAACAAAACAAAAACCTTTAAATGAATGCAAATTGAAACCAGCATATTTGTTAATATTAAAAGCTCCTAAAAACGTCCCATCTTAAATGTTAAGCTCATGATTCCACATCTGTGTGCCCAATAATCAGTGTAGAGTAGCGAGAGAACAATCTTATGTTCATAAAGCAAACATAAAATCTTAACAATGTTATTAATAGGTTTAAAGTTTGCATTTTGATAGTTGTGCCAAAAACCCAAGAAGATTATAATGTATTCATTTCATTATTCTAAAATTTGTCTAAGTTTCCATTTCTCACCCAGTAAATGATCCCCAAAGTTGCTCAACAACTCCTCTAACATCAAACATACTATGGGTTTTAAGCATTTTTAAAATTTGGATATTTATTTATTTAAAATTTTTATTCATTATATACCCTGATTGCAGTCCCCTCTCTCAACTGCCCCCAGTCTCAACTTCCCTTCCTCTTCCCCTTCCCCTAGTCCACTGAAAAGAGAAGTTCTCCACCGTTGCTGTCTGCCTATAGCCTGTATCAGGACAGTCTGGATCCACCTCCTCCCTGGCCTGGCAATGCTGCATCACCAGGGGCACATGATCAAAGAGCAGTCAACTGAGTTCATGGTAGAAGCAGCCCCTGCTCCCCTCACTCAGAGATATATATGGAGACTAAGCTGCCAATCAGCCACATCTGAGCAGGGGGTCTAAGTCCTCTCCATTCATGATCCTCCATTGGTGCATAAGTCTCTGCAGGACCACCTTACAAAAGGTTTTTCCAAAAACTGCCAATAAAATGTCTGGGATATTTTTACATAGTCTTAAAGGCCTTAAAAACGTGCTAAAGAAAATGAATTTAATTTTAAACAAGCATTATTTAATGTCCCACAGAGAGGATATGATTCAAGTCTTCTAAAGTCTGCCTTCCTAAACAGCCTAAAGCATGGTGTGCGCACAAATACACCAGCATACATATTTACAGCATCTTTTTACCCTGTCTGTCTTATTTTACCCTGTTATGCTCACTGTAGTAGTTTAGATTAAATACTAGATTGATACAGAAAGAATAAATTAAATGAAAACCTCACAATAGTTGACAAATGCCATTATTAGCAAAGCCATAGAAATCTAAATTCAGTTAAGGAGAGGACCAATAATCAGAATTTACTGACAACACCTCAATTCACTTACTTTCCTTTCCAATGTTTCTTTTTTATTTAAACACTTAGATATAACACACACACACACACACACACACACACACACACACACACGCACGCACACAATTTGTGCTTGGGAAATAAAAGCAGCTAACTCCCCTCTAGATCAGATTTAAAACATTAAGTTCCAGCTAAGGTCAATATTTTTTATTCTAAAAGGGCCATGGCAAACAGTTCAATATAACAAAGATCACCTGAGCCCTGACAAATGGTCCAGTTAGAACACTCTGAGTGAATTACAATAAAATTTGCTACCACTGAATTAAAGCATTCTTATATTTTTGCTCCCAATGCTTTCATAACAATACAAATATGACAAATTAAGCACTTGCTTAAAGGGCATTGTGATGTGTTAGATGGGGCATTAGATTGGAAAACAGATGTTTGAGTTACATTTCCAGCTCTGCCACTTACCTTCATGAATACAGGAAAATTCTTTACTCCAGTTTCACTTTCAGTACTTACAATCAGTAAAATAATGAATGGGAATGTGTTTTTAAAAATACATGTCAATCAATCTGTAACAATAAATCATTCCCTCAATCAACAAGCTGACAATTTAACAACAGTCCATTTCTTGCTGCAATGGCCAGCCATGTCTGTTCCAACATGAAGGTTTTTGTTTTTTGTTTTATGTTTGTTTGTTTGTTTGTTTTTGAGAAACCCAAGTTTGTTTCCCAAGATAAACACCTGCCAATGACTTGGAAGTATTTTGGTTCATGTTTGGCGATTAGAGACAGGGAAAGAAAGCTAAATATCCTGGTTGAGTATTTATGAATGTCTGGTGTACATAATTAAAGTCTTGGCCCTGGTTTCAATGTTTTGTTCCTAGCTGACATTTTCTATCCTGGAAGCATCAGTCTTAAAATAGAACAAATGCAAATGAATAATGATTGCCAACAACTTTAGCTAACTTTAACTGAGTGAAATACTCTTTAATTGTTTAGGTCAAATACTTCGCTTCTCAACAAAGAAAGATCCAGATTTGGGGGCGGGGGGAGATGATGAACGCTGTATAAAATAAGTTATAGCTGTGACCCATAAGTTATAGCTGGAAGTTCTCTGGTATCTGGAGATTATTTTCTAGTTATTAACAATAAATAAATCTAATACATTAAAAATGATTTGCTTCAGCACCTATAATTTATAGCAACAGGACTTGGCAGCAGGACAATGGTAAAAAAGCTCGTGCTTCCTATGTGGCTGTAGTAGGAACTAAAGTGTCAAAATCTAATTACTAGTTTTTGGCCTTTTAATACAAAGTGCTGTCATAATATAACTAATTTGGCTGACCAATTATTTCATGCCATCTACAGCTGCCCATTTCATACCCTTATGTCATGAATAAAAATATCAGGGAAATTTACATCACAAATCACTTCAACCTATCAATTTTATATCAAATAAATTATTAAAAGAAGCAAAAAGGCACACAAGGACTTAGGAATAGACTAAATCACATGGGAAATGACACTCTTCTAAATGCTAATGTGTTCAAAAGCTGAAGCCTTCATCATTGAAGAATTGCTTTAAAATATTTCCTTCATTAAAAAAATACATACACATATTCTGGATGTTTCTTTCTAATTGATTTAAACAAGTAAATATAAAATACATCAAGCTTGACTGTAGATAAATAAGTTTATATGAATTATAATCTCACATTATAAACAGATCTCAACATAAAGATCGCAACTGTGAATAATCATGTGTAATACTATTAATGAAAGTAAAGCCATAAAAATGTGACTCAGAATTTTTACTTAGCTTTGTGTTCCTAAATATAGTAGTTAACACTCACAACCAAGATACTGATCCTAACTACATAAAATAATACATAATACTTCAATATGCCAGTTCTAAACATATTCCATAAATTAAAATTAATGTATTAAGCTGTGTGACTTCTAATATTGTGCCTTATTTCTTATTCACAACACTGTTTGTTTCTTAACATCATGTATTCAGTTTTTTATGCTAAATAAGAAAATAAAGATAGAACAGAAATATATGGAAGTTCATCTATAGCTTTAGAGGGAAACATGATCAGATTTATTTGGCACGTTTTAAACACTTGACAGACAACACTTTATCGATTCACATTAAAATGCTAACTAGCATCACTTTCTGCAATAGGTTGTTTCAATACCACACTTCTTCCTGTGCCCTTCCATATGCTATATTGCAACAAATTACATGTCACATCTCTCTTTAAAACCAAAAATTAGCTAGTTTTCAAAGAAAATCTAAATCTTCAATTTAAATGCTTAAAATTTTACCTCAGTGTTAAAACAATGACAAAATAAAAATACATTTTATTTGTACAATGATCTCATGTTCCAAAATGCTTCCATAGTCATTGACATATATCAGTGTAAGCTTCTGCCTATCTATGAGATACGACTTCAATGGTATAGTCCCCCAATAAAGTTAGGAATTTCCTCAATAAACAATACAATTATAGCATATTAGGTATTCAATATAGTTACAAAGCCATTAGTCAGTAATTTATGCAAATATAATGGCCACTGCATAGCAATAATCCTCAGATCAGAGTTTATTTGAAGAACAGTATGATCTCACTATTTTTATCTTTTTGTGTGAACAAAGATCAGAACATGTAGGCATTGGAAAATGTAAGCATCATTTAAAAAAATCACGGGTCACAAGCAGTTACTCTTCTGATGTTGAATTTTACATCAAAGTTGTACATAGTACCTTGAGCAGTTATGGTTCAGCATAAGACCTAACTATAACTTATTAGAAATGTAATTTATGAATTTTAAATACATAATTACGAGAGTAGTGCTCTGTGTGTGTGAGTGAGAGAGTGGTGAGAGAGTTGGGGAGAAGCTAACAATTTAAAGAACTTTTGAATTAAGTTAAGGCAAGCCAAAGCAATTGGATTAAGGCAAGCCAAAGCATCCTTTTGTTGTTTTAATGATCACTCTTTTGGCATATCTGTGCTGCAAATGTGAGTTTTTGTATGGCAAGTTTTCTATAGCAAAGAGAAAAAGAGGAGATAGGAGGCTACACGTGCACTAAATGGGGAGCTGGTAAGGTGACTGCTGTGATCAGTCCCTGGCTTGTTCTGCCTGATCAAGCAAAATGGGTAAAGATCAAATCACAAAAGCATTCCAGAGAGCAAGTAAAGCAAAACTCTTCATCAAACTGACTCCTAGAATGAAAACTGCTAGAGACCAGCCCTTCCCAGAGAATGCAGCATATTCTTCTAAGGAGAGAAGGCAGGGCAGGCTACATGGGTATCCTCTGCAAACATTTCTTGAGAATCTCTCAAGACAACATTGTGCACTTTTGTACACAGATGCACGTTTTGTTCTTATAGTCCTTCTCTTCCTTCAGAAAATTAGGCCTTGAAAAGCTCCCACTGCTCCTGGAGCCCTGTCTTCTTCCTTCAGCCTTTTTATCTTGCTTTCCTCAATCTCCCGGAAGACACACCAATTAAATATTTTAGATGCTTTTTAAAGCTTTGAAACAGTATTTCTAGCCATATTCAAGATGCCTCTACACCCTCTGTAGAGAGATGGGGTAAGGGAACCAAAAGACGAAAATGAAGCACAGCAAAAGTGACTTGCCTTTCCCTACCAGTGACAGAAAAGGAACACTCACGATTTCTCACAATTTATCCTGTGAAAAAACAAAAACACCCTTTCCAGAGTGTGTTTTTAATCCCCTGGGGTTTTATGCATCCTCTCCCCATTCAGCTGACAAACAAGAGTTAACCTTTTGGGCAAACCAAAGCAAACCAGCCAAACAATGACTGCTTGTTAGAAAGTAACTATGTTAATAGATGGACGGTTACTGCTAAACTCTCTGTGCTCTCATTCAAGCCCTGCACTTAACTTAGATTGAGCACTCAAAGAAAAGTACCTTTTAATTGTGGGCAGAACTCAAGTTTCTGAAGAATGAGTGGCTGGAACTCAGTTTCTGAAGAATCTAGAGAAGCGGCAGTACCTTTGAAAGCTGTGAGTCTTTTAATTTTAACTGCTTCTAAGAAGTAAATCCAATGTTTAACAATTGACTCCATCAGCTAAATTCATGGGTTAGTTAAAAGCTTATCTTTTCTCAAAGATCAAAAAGGTATCATGTGAAAATTAAAACTGAATTCTACTCTCACTAAAACAACACTAGTAAATGAACTTATAGCTAACACTGTACCAAGTAAAGCATCGACTCATTCACTCATTAGGCATTTTCCACTAACTCTAGGAATTTTAATTATGAATTCACCAACCTCTTTTCGGAGAGTGGTCACTTTTTATAGTCACGTCTGGCAAAGTCCATTCTCACGTAAATGTCGTCTTCATCATCGTCATTGTCCTCAGACTCTGCTCTTTCTGTAGGTCTTAGCGCCCGACGTTGACGAGGCGGCAGTGGGGGAGCAGCTGCGTGGACCTCCAGGTCCTCACCTCTGGCAGCTTGATTAAGGTCTCCAGGATTCCAGCCTGCTGCAATGTCCTGGACCCCTCTTACAGCGCGGGGACCAAGAGCATTAGCAACAGGTTGGAACCAGGGAGCTGACGCAGAGTCAAATCCTGCAGCTGCATGAAAACCAGCAAAGATAGCGCCAAAGCCGGGGGCCACTGCGAGCGCAGAGACTACTACTAAAGCCCTGCTCACTGCCAAGAGTGGCGTCCCAGCCTGAGCAGCAACCCTGGCAGAAGCGGAGGGAAGGTCTCTCCCTAATCTGTCAGTTGGGAAAGCAAAGAGAGCGGGTCGGGTGTTGGCAAATAAACTTTGGGACCAGCTTTGTGGGCTTCTTCTCTCCTGCACTTCCTCCTGTATCAGCCTAGCTACAGGTGGCAGTTCAGAGCATTGGCCAGGAAAGAGAGAAATATCCATACAGCACTCAGAGAATGGGTCAACTAAATAGATTCGACCGGTTTGAGCATCATAGCGAATGGTACTGTCAGCAAAAGGCACGGCTGTTGTCACGGCAGGGTTGAAAATCACTTCAATGTGTTCACCCTCCTCCACAATAGCATTGCTTGGAGAAGGACGAAAGGGCCACCTAGCACCAGCCAGAGAAATGGAATTGGCACCTGGTAGAACTCTTAAAAGATCTAAGAGGCGGATTGCTGGATTTGGAAAGGGCACCCCGAATTCAGCATTCAGGTAACTGGAAAAAGCTGTGCTTCTGGGGTCAGTAATTAAGCCCCAGGAATCTGGCAGTCTGTAAGTAGAGGGAGCCGGCATAGGTCTCTCTCTCTTAAATAAGTCAATGTTGATATAGTCGGGAGAGCTGTCATCTCCTCTCTGCTCCTGTGTGGGCTTTATTGGTTTGGGCTTTATTTTATTTCCTTTTGCAATTAAAGAGAGTTGGTTAAGTCTCTTAGCCTTGTTCACTGGGAGAACATCATCTGAAGGCTTTGCAGGTGACCCCCTATCTCCAGGTTTTGAGAATGACCCCTCAATTAAAGGCTTTGATGCTACATTTTTGGTGTCCTGGCTAAAGGAGGTTCCTTTGTCTAGACCCCTCCCCAGGTATTTTCCAGGTAACATCGGAACATACTCACTATGGTCACACTGTCCCAAGGGTGAGCTCTGAAAGGGGTTTGGCAGAGAAAAGTAAGAGCTCCAACTTTTGGAGGAAGAGCCTCCCTGAGGATTGGGGGGACTTTTAGGAATTGCACCTGCTCCAGGAGCCATAAACATGTAGTCACTGTCACTGTCATTGTCCTTTGAGTCATCCTCTTTATTAGCGTCTGGTGCTTTCAGAGCACTTGGGGCAGGTGGTGGTGGGCTCACTCTGGGAAACATCATCATGTACCCTCTGGAGTCTTCAAAGGGTGACCTAGAGTGGCGCTTCTCGAAAGCAGAGAAATTCTGAGGAGCCATTGGCATATAATCACTGGAACAGGCAAGAGGAGCAGCAACCCCTGGCCTCATTGGTACATATGGGTCATCCTCATCGTCATCAAAAGCTCTGCCTCTGTGAGGCACCCTGGCTGCACCTTCCGGGGGGGTCTCCATCTCTCTCACTTCTTTGGATTCTTTGCATTCTTTTGTGGCTCTTCTGTCTGCACAAAAATAAAGTCGGAATCTCCGCCCAGACTTCCCTTTTCCACCAGTTGCTCCAGCCGGTGGGGGTGGAGGAGGGGTTGGGGGTGGAGGAGGCAGCATTTGCTGGTGCTTGCTTTGAGTGAACTTGCCAAAGTAGGATCTTTTCTTCAGAGATTTGCCACGGTCACCATCATCAGAGTTTTTCCCACGTCCTGAGCCCTTGCTCCCTCCTGAGTTTTTGCTACCACCTGAGCCACGACCATCTCCGGATCCCTGGCCGCTCCCTGAGCCATGGCCACCTCCAGGCCTCTGGCCTCCGCCTGAGCCGTGGCCACCCGCTGTGCCCTGGCCAGTTCCTGAATACTGGTTTCCTCCTGCACCCTGGCCTCCCGAGCCCTGGCCACCTCCAGATCCCTGCCTCCCACCTGAGCACTGGTTTCCTCCTGAGCTTTGACTACTGGAGCCTTGGCCGGTTGAGCCCTGTCCACCTCCTGAGCCTTGGCCACGTCCTGAGCCCCAGCTGTTCATGAAGGGCATGGAATCACCTCCGTTTCCTTCCTTGCTCTCCTTGTCCTTTTCTTCAGAATTGCCAGACCTGGAGCCCAAGGCTCTGTCGTTGGGGGCTTCTTCAGGCTGTGGTACAGGCTGTGGGCTGGGTGTTAAGCGATGGAATAATCTGGGTAGTACTGAGACGGCTCTCTGGGACCCGCGAGCTCTTGGCAGGTGCTCACTTCCTCTCCTGGAGGGAGGCAGAGGCGCGCTGCGTGTGATGAAGCGCCTGGGGAAGAGCATCTCCTCTTCCCTGTCACCAATACCCCCGAGGTGGCAAAACTGCTGAAAGCGGGATCTTCGGAGCCAGCCTCCAGGCTCCAGTGGAAGCAAGCCCAGGTGCCTCCTAGTGGACAGCAGGGTTAACAGGTGGGCGCCAACACTAATGCCGTAGTTGAGGCATCGGGCTCGGTATTCCTCTGCGCACAAGGCTCTCATCTTCTCCAAAAACAACTCATGCATATTTTGGGCCACCACACAGTCATCCACTTGCATCCACAGCTCCCCTGGACCGATGACAGTAGACCTGCCGACTTCCAAGAAGAAGTATTGCTCCGAGTGCCCACAGCGACGAATGCTCAGGAGCTGAACTACCACACTGGCCACGTCAGTATTAAGCCTCACAAACATAACCTTTTCGTTGGTAAGACACAGCCGGAACACACCGCTCAGCTCTTTTCTGTGCCCCAGCCCCCTAGGTTTCACTACTACCTGCCACACATCTTTATAGAAGGGTGGCTCCGTCGCCACTGATGCCTCCCAGGCTGCTGGTTCTCCGTCCGGCTGTGCCCCTAGTGTGAAGCAGTGGCGGCGCCTGCTCTCGAGGATGAGGCTGCTGAGTAGCAAGTACCAGCTTTCTTGTTCATACTCGTTGTCGGCCACCATCGCGAAGTACTCGTCCTGGGTGAAAAGGGCAATAAGGTGTCGGTACCTGGCATCAGCGCGCTGGCTCACGGAGAAGCACTGGTACAGGATGATCACGCGCCGTGGTGGGATGAGCGTGGGCACCGCAGCCCCAGAGGCGGCCGCCGCTGCAGCAGCCGCCGCGGCGCGGACACTGTGCCGGAACTTCCTGGCGTTTGTGTAGTATTCGAGTCGAGCTGGAGCATCTGCTGTCTCGAGTTTAAGTACGAAGTAACGCTTATGTCCATGCTTTTGCTTCCTCAGGTAGCCGCGTTTGCAGACTTCATCCCCGACGGGGAGGTCCTCCTCTTCGGACTCAGAGTCTGACCGGGAGCCAGTGGCTGTGGAGAGCCACATGGCTCCCGGACAGGATGACCTGGTCCCAATGAGTGCGGTCGGGGTTTCCGAGGAAAGAAGCGGGGTGGTCGCCACTGCTGCTAGAGCTGCGGAGGCTTTGGCTGCTTCAGCTCTCAGTCTCCTAAGCGCTTGGTTGCCAGCAAAGGAGCAACTCGCCATGGTGATGCACGGTGGTTTTAAGGTAAGCGGAGGTGGGGGGGCGGGCTGGAGAAGGGAGGGCTGGGGGAAAAGAGGCGTTTTCTCCCCAGTCTGCCCGCCCAGACCCCTCCCGCCTAGGTCTGGGTCACCGCCCACTTCACTGGGCTTTCAGCAGAGGCAAAACAACACGTGATCATTGCCTCACGCGGCGGTCCGCTCCAGATCCAGCTGCCAGAGCGGTGGAGAGGCGAAAGTGGCCATCAGCAGAGGAGTGGGAGGGGGACAAGGAAGGGGGACCTGGTACCAGAGAGGCAGGGCCATCTTCAAATAGGCAGAGATCCTTTGGGTGAATACAAGGACCTTTGGTTCAAGGCAGAACCGACGGGAAGAAGCAGGGTTCTCTAGCCACACAAAACCTAGTGTGGAGTCCCAGAAGGCTAGGGCGGAGGGTAGACATAAGGGGTGAAGGACAGAGCGGCCAGCCATGGGGCCAGGATAGGTTGCCACAGCCCACATTCATTCGACTGGAGGGGGCTAGAGATGGTAGGAGGGGATGGGGCTGACACAGTGTAGGATGGTTTGTTTGTTTATGTAGGAAGCCAGGTGAACCCTTTGCAAGGCCCTGATTGGTTATAGTACAAGCCAATGGGAGGATCCAGCAAGGGGGTGGCCCTGGATTCATTAATTTAGTGGAAGTGGGGACCTGGTGGGCGGAAGGATGAGGAGTCTTGGTTGGGGTTCCATAGTAAGCTTCTTAATCTAGTGTCTCTGGGTCAGGCGGTAAACAACCCTCAGAAAAAGCTGTTAATGGTGGTGATAAATTCCTGCAAATCCCAGAGCCATGGTGACCCCCTCTGCCAGGAGCCCTCTCTTCTTTTTCTTATTGCTCACATTTTCCGTTGTGATTGCAGTCTACTCTAGTTCCTCCCGCCTCTCACTATGAGCAGTTCTTCTTCGTAGAAAGAGTCAGTTATCTTTGGAAACATGGTATCTACCTGGGTGCTCAGACCTGCTGCACATCCGACTGCACTTGCTTCCTTGCCCTCTCCATTCCTGACAAAAGTCAACAATTTTTAAGACTCAGGAATTACAGAGATGCCTTCAAAACTAACACTATCTGTACACACAGAGTGTATTTCTAGTCCAGGAAACACAGATTCTGTCGAAGTAGTGTTTCTATTTGATGACGACTATGAAAGTACAAATTTGGGAGCCTGAGAAGTATATAGCCATGTTGGAAACAGCCGGACTTACTGAAACAAACAAACAAACAAACAAACAAACAAAAAAACAGGATTGAGCTGTCATGATATACGCCCCCCCCCCCCCAGGGCAGTGCTTTGAAATGGTGCCTTTTAAGGAATTAACAAATGCTAACTTTCTTTTTCCTTGAAGGAGACTGGAAAACTTTACGAAAAACAAAAAGCTCTTATCAGGAACACATGACTTTGAATATATTTTACATCCTTCACTTCAAGAAGGTCTTTGCTTCACTTCAGTTTACAAATTGACATCACAAAAATAAGAACCTACTCCCTCCCTTCTTGGAGAAAGTGCCTGAGTGTAAGTTGTAAGTGTAATTTCCTAAAACTATTTTTCCTGTCCTTCTCTCCACTCTCCTATCCTCTTCTCCTATATCCTCTTCTTCCCTGTCTTGTCCTCCTCTCCCACCTCTTCCCCTCCCCTCATCTCTCTCAATTTCTGCCAAAGCTCTGATGTACTCATCTCAGCCTCTTATAGATAGGGATAAAGACATGTTGAGATGTTGAAAAGAAGGATGGTTGGACAAAAAAAAAATTCTTTTTTCAAAGAGAATTTCACCTTTCCTACAGTAGATACTGCAAAGGGTAATATTTATAAATCTAACAGCAAAGTAAGCAAGGATACAGCATAAAAATATACTCCATCTCCTTTTTCTTAAGAATTCCCTTTGCTTAGAAGAACACGTTAAAATAGATGGCACCTTCATGATGTTCAGGTTCGGAACGGAGGAAGTGGTTTTATTTGAGACCCAAAGATTAGGAACCATCATTAACATGTCTTTTGCTTCCAGCAGTTTATAAATACAGTGTATTCACAGGTGGTAGAAACAACCATGGTTTGGGGAATGGGCTGGAGACCATATGAATAAAGGGCTGAGAGCAGGATGAATGTGAATGAACTGGGGTTCCTACCCACAGGTTTCAGCTGCCTAGTCATGTATGTACAAGATTCAGTGCACTTAGAATCGAAACGATCATGCATATATTAATTTGAAATTTTATGATATTTTGTAACATTCTAAATGCACTGTTTTGCTTCTGATAGAGTTGTAAAAAGACAATGCATTTGAAAATACTGTAACATAACATTTGAAATATATCAAATACATTGAAGTGTTTGTTAAATAAAATTTGCAAAATACTGAACTGATTCAATAATCCTTTTGTCTCTAACGCCTATATATACAAAATGTCTACATAGAGCATTATAGACTTATATATAATTTGTTTTATTATTCTTTTCACTCTGCATTATAAGGAAAATCTTTCTCATAGTTTTATGAATCAGCCTAAACACCATTTTAATAGTAGTATAATATCCCACATAGTAGTGATAAGACAATATATTCTGAGTTCTAAGGTATATTATTGTAATTAATCATTTTTTTCAGTTCTGTAAATAATACTGCCATGAAAATCTTGAATTATGCCTTTAAAATGTTTAAATCATTACTTTTACAAATTGAAGACTAGAATTACTGGCATAAAAATATGTATATTTCATATATTATTTTTTAAGTATTTTATTACTTTACTCTGCAATCACATCATTTGTCACTATTGGATATTCTTAGTTTTAAAAATACTAATAAACAAAATTCTATCTCACTGTTAAATTTTTCATTTTTTTTTTACCAGTATGGTAAAATGTCTATCTGCTATGTATTGTCTTCTGTAAAGTATCCTTTTAATTTCTTTGCTTCATCCATTGGATTCTTATTTTATGTATTGATTAGTTTATATAATAAAGATTTTTAAATTTTGTCATATTTATTACAAGTTTTTTTCCTTCAGCTGCTGATTTTAAAAAAATCTCATCAAACTTGATTTCCTTCTATTCTAAAGAGAGTTGTAAATTTTACTCAACAGATTTTGCAGGTCAGGCTAACAGAGTGCTATCAGAATCCCTTCTAATCATCTCTTTAAGTGATCATATAGCTGACCTTGTATGTTTTTTGAAAGGTTGGTTTTCATGTCAATTAATTATTAGAGAGAATTTACTCTAGATCAATTTATATATCATTCTGAAACAATATGATGGTATTCTCTGGTGTAGGGGGAACCAGTGTATTTTTTAAAAAGGGATTTTTTTTTTTAAGAAACACAGTGAATGGTTAACCATGCTGATCATTTTTTGCTCAACATACATTAGTTGACTACAGCAAAGTGGAATTAGAGCTCTAGTGAGATGTTTCATGCAGGGATTTTTTTTTGTATGTTTCTTACAATAAAAGTGAATCTGGAAGCATGAACCCTGGAGAGCAGAGAGAATATTTCACTAGAATAGCATCATTTTCTTCCCCTTAGGTCAATCAAAGTTCTTGTGTGCTGGAGTTGTTCCAGTACAGAAACTTTTGGGAGAGACTACTATTATTGAATGAAATGCAGCAGATGCTGCAGCTTGTCTAGCATATATTCAAACTTTCATGTTCCTGAACAACTTAATGATATAGAATAGTTGCTTAGGTCAAGTTTCTGTAGGCAAAATAAAGCAGAGGATTGTCACAGACATCAAAATGGTTCAGACAAAAGGTGTTTAGCCTGAGCTTGCCTCTATTTTCCTTTGCCTGTATGCTGTGTGTTTTAGGGTACTTTGTTTGTTTGTTTTTTTGACTTGTTACTTGAGAAAGCCAAAGTTGCTTTGCATGTTCAGTCATTACTACTTTTTAAATTTGGAGTCTGAGCTGTTTGATACACATCTTTTTAAAGTAATGGATGAGAAATAATAACATCTGCAATAATTAATATTGTATCTACTAGTTTAGCTTAGGGAAACCCCACAAGCAATGCCGCTAATATTTTACATCTAGAAAGCAAACAAAATGGATAGACCATTTTGGTATCTTTATCTTTCCAGTGAAAAATACACATTTAAAATGGTTTGCTTTTTAAAAGGTTTTTCTGGGTGTCCTATTATTAAAAAGTAATCATTTGACTGTCTAGTCCTCATAGTAAAAATTTACTCTTCCATTATCTACATGATTATTGATATTCAAATTGTAAAATAAAAGTAGCTAATTAAAATGTGAATTTACTTAACTGAAAAATTAAACTGTTGCATCAAATATGAATACCAAGAGCCATTATTGAAGAGAATAAAGCATAAAATCTACCAGCATAACGGAGCTATTATTCTTGTCCAATGTACAAATTATGCCATAGTTATTATCTTATCTTTATGAGGTAATGTCCAATTGTGAAGCTCAAAATGTGGTAGGACTCATGATGCTCAAAAATGACGATAGTGATACTGATTAATTTTTCTGTTTCAACATAAACAAAGATATACATGATGAACATGCTTTCTCCACTAAACAGACATAAGGGCTCTTGCCTCCCTTAGCAGATGATGGCTCTGCCTCTCAGGGTTTTGTTTTGTTTTCCTCAAAACCTCTTCTGAAGAAAACAAGTCCTTGCTATACACAGAACAGGCCTATTTGCTACTTTTGTTTCCTAGCAGTCAGTGGCTAAAGTAATTAGACAAATATGTGGTTTAAATAGGCTCCTAAAGCTACCTTGCTATCTTAAGTCAACTGAAAATTAACTCTGTTAACAATTAGGCATCCCTTTCCACCTCCAAAAGAGACAAAACTTTATTTGTACATTACTTTTAGTAAGTTCATTAAATGTCAAAACAATGAAATAGGATAGATTTCACATAAAGTTAAATGGTTTCGCACTCCATATTTTGTGTAACTTTGCTACAAAGGAATAATAGAAAATGTAGTGTTATACTGTTTCTTACTGTTAAAATGCATA